TGGTATATTAGTGGGTGGTGTATTAGTGGTGTACCAGTGGGTGGTGTTTTTGTGGTTTTCGAGTGGGTGGTTTATTGGTGGGTTGTGTACCAGACCAGTGGGTGGTGTATTAGTGGGTGGTGTACCAATGGGTGGTGTATTGGTGGTATATTAGTGACCCGGCCCGTCCCCAGTCCCAGCTGGTCCCAGCCGGCTGAGACAGCCCCCTGACAGGCCTCCGGGGGCAGCACTCACATGAAGAAGGCGATGGTGGAGAAGACGCCACAGGTGTGGAAGGCGTGGTTCATCTCCTGCTGGGACGGATAGGTCACTGCTGCGTCGATCATGATCCACCAGCCGGTGAAGAACTGGAAGAGTCACACAGTCACAAAGACCTGTAGCAGCCTGAAACATGGCCGCCGGAGGTGGAGGCTGCAGCACCCCCTGGTGGCGGGAGGGAGATTTTAAAAAATACTTTCCACAATTTATCCATTTCTTATGAATATTTCGGGAAATGATTTTGACTTTTTATTTTATTTTACCATCACGTGTATTTGGATTTTAATTGACTTATTTTGACCCTTAGGGGGTCCGGAGGTACTGCATGGGGGTCACAAAGGTTTTGGTTGATTATTCTTTTTTTTATATTCCCCCTTGCATTTTTTCCACCAATGTAAATGTGTTTAAATCCACATGGACATGAGTCCAACAGACTGTAGTAAACAGATAAATGGAGGCAGAAGATTTCTTCCAGTCATCAGCGCTCACATTCAGACACACACAGGAGCTCAGCAGAAGACTCCTCTCACCCAGACGCACCACAGAGCGCCACCGGAAATCCTTCCTGCCGGTGGTCATCAATCTGTACAACGCCTCCCTCTGAGAGCCAAACTTAATCATTGACATTATCCACCACTTTTTTTACCTTTATATACACACATATAGTTTTTTATGTATATATCTATCTATATTATATGAGGAATTTTGTATATATATATATACATATGTATATATGTACAGAGATCTATATATGTATATGCCGCTGTTTTATTTATGGAGCCAGTAACAAAAATAATTTCCCTCTGGGATTATTAAAGTATTTCTGATTCTGATTCTCTTTCAAGCTGGGCCCCGTTTCATTCACAACACCTGTCCCACCAACCAGGAACCAGAACCAGATGTTTACATTAAAAACAGGAAGATATCAACCTGTGGATTATCTGAGGATCCTAGTACTGAATTCCCAGCAACAAGGGACATTTACACACTATAGGACCAGTTTGATAAAACACAATTTCATACAATATATATAATTAAGGGGTCCCCCTCCATCAGTTTGGGGTCGTTGGCCTGGAAAACCTTAAAGACCCCGGCTCCATATCTTACTCACCAGCGTTCCAGCCACAACGGAGGCCACGGCGTTCCTCCTCTCGCCCCAGTCGATGCACTCGCACTCCGGCCAGCGGAAGTTATCCAGAAAGCCAGCCATCTGCAGGCCTTCAACCCAACTGCTGCCAGCGGCTCTGTGAAGCTTCCTCTGCAGCCTATGAGAGAAAAAATAAAGCTTCTGCTCAGCTTTCCTGTCAGATCTGGTCAGCTATCATTATTTCATTAGTCAGAAAGGGAGCTTTAAATGAGGGCGTCTGGTGTCCAGGGCCTGGTCTAGGTCTGGTGAAGCCCTGGTGTCCAGGGCCTGGTCCAGGTCTGGTAACCAGAGCTTGGTCCAGGTCTGGTGAAGGTCTGGTGTCCAGGGTCTGGTCCAGGTTTGGGAGGATAGGCCTCCAGAGAACACCCGTCTCATCTGGGGCATTCCCAGACATTTTCCACCTTCACTATCAGCAGGTTTTTAACTTTATGATCCATTTTTTACTGTTAAATCCTAAGCTCATCGGGGTAAAAGTGTCCGTTATTTATTTTGGACGTTACTTGTCCTTTACTATTCACTAGTCAAAGCCGGTCAGACCGGCCCAGAGCGGAGTGTAATGTAGGATAAATGTGGAGGTTTCCTCTCCTCTGCTCCCTGTAGTGTCCACCACAGGGGCCCCGTTCCGTTCCCGGTCACGTCCCCGGCACGCGCGCTCTACCGCCTCCAATCAGAGCTCGGATCATGGAGCGAGCGGCAACTAACGGCAGCTAACGGCGCCACCAGACAGCACCAGAAGCTCCTCACACTCCGTTTCAGCCCGCAGACCTCCGTGGGACCCAGCCACGGACGGCCCGGGTCCCTGTGGGCGGAGGGCCGGCGGGGCTTACCTGGTTAGCGGGCAGATACCAACGTCCGGAAGCCGCGGAGCTTCTTCTTCTTCTCTACTTTTAATTACGGCTGCAATAAGGAACACATTCGGAAGAACACTGCCACCTACCGTTTTAAATTAATACGATATTTCGCATTATTTGCTTACTTTTTGTTCTTTCTTTTAAGAGAAAACTGTTTTCTTATGGTATTTTAAAGTATTAATAATCATGTGTAACCTTGATAGGAGAGTTGTTGGAGATTAAAGCCCAATAAATTCTTGCACAAAGGGCCTAGAAGCAAAACGAGGCTAAGAAGAGACATCTATGATGCAAAGCAGGTCCAAACCATGTCTTCCCTTGATAGTTTTTTGGATTTAGTGAGAGATCTAGACAGATAAAATAGATCATCCTGATGAGAACACATCTGGAATATCAGGAAGGAAATGTCTTTTTTGGGGATAAAATTGGCAATCTTCACAAACAGTGAATACAGCAGCTATATAATTAGTCAGTTGAGAAACTTAATTTTGAATTATCCAAGAATTACCAAACCACAAATGTGGCTGCATTCAAACTGAATAAAGCAGCTTAAACAAAGCAGCTTTTTACCAACATGAGAAGTGATTTATGTTGCTTTACAGTGCACAAACATACTGAAGTAACTTAAAGTCCTCCAAACAGTCCATAAGGGGGTGGGTGGCTCAGCCTCCAGTACATCCAATGGCTCATCCACTTTATTCTGATCTGTTCCAGCATCTGCATGTCTGCCTCCTGAGTAATAACACTGAGGAGCTCCCACTCCTGGGCACATCTGGACTGTTGGACGGAGCACTGTCAGTAGGAAGTGACCCGCACACGTCTTATTTTAAGCTTAGAACAAGTGATTTCATCTTTATTTCTGTTCAAACCAACAAAACCAGAGGACATTACCCACTTACATAATTAGCTTATCATCCAGCAGCTGTATGACACCAGGTGGCGGACGGCTCCAGGACTGGAGGGACAGTCAGTTCTCCTTGAGTCTGACTTTAAAGTCACCGTCCCTGAGCCTGAGCTCAACTCGTCTGCAGCTTCGTCCTGAAGGTGCTGGGGGGGGCGTTGGTGAATATGGTCCCCACGAAAACATGTGTCCCCCACAGAGGATGCCGGATCACTCGACAGCAGCCCAAGTCCTCGATCTGGAAGCCCAGGTGGCGGTACCTGTCATCCGTCTCAAACAGCGTGCAGTTGGTGTACGGGCCAAAGAACTGAGGAGGAGAACAGCCACAGAGCTCTTAGCAGCTTCTACACAGCAACATTCCCAAACATTTCCAATGTCTGGATCCCTCTGAGGAGCAGCTCTGCACCTTCAGGAAGAAACACTGGAAACAATAAAGGCTGCTGTAAGAGTCTGGTTCTGCTACAGAGGCTCTGTGTCCGCCTACCAGGTTAAGCTGGGCGTACACTGCATGATGTTTCCATCGTAGCTCCAGCTCAAACTGAACCAAATCGTAGGATCACAAGGTCACAGCTCATGATTTCTGTTTCTAACTATACGACCCGATATGAGATCTGACCTCCAAAAACGTCCAAAAACGCACATTGGACTTGAAATAGAAGAAAAAGTGGACCAACAGCGAGGGACCATGAGGGTCCCCAGAGCTAAAAAATAGTGTGACCCGAAAGCTTTAAAACAATCACAGGCCGGCGTGTTTGGAGCATTTGGAGGAAACGGCTGAGCAGACGGGGTCAGCACGACCGGTCAGCTTTACAGCCTGAACCAGAGGGAGCAGCAACTACTCCCACAGAACTTCCTGATCCCCTGCTGACCCCCAGAGCCAGAGATGGAGGGGAGTCGGGTGCTAACATGGCTCCAGTAACAGGACTCCCTCACCAGGGCCCACCAGAAACTCAGACCGGTCTGGTTTTCCTCCCACCAGAGGATGTGGATCTGGAGGAGGAGATGGTGTCAAATCGTGTCAAAAAGGGGCAGAAATCGCCCGGTGTACGCCCAGTTTTACTTCCTTTACGCTATCATTGCCTCTTTCTGTGAGGGGGCACTCCAGTTATTGAAGTCAAACCGAAGAGACCGGATTCTGGAAGACCGTTTCCCAACATGGGAAACAAAATTGATACAGGAAATCCACACAAGCCTGCTCCCCATGGGACAGCATGTCCACCATGGAGGGGGGCGAGTCAGAGTGGAGTCTCACCGCCAGGCCGGAGGACGGGTCGATGAAGTCCGCCCAGAATCCCTCCTTCTGCAGAGCCACGCACATCTCCTCTGCTCCCCGGACAAACTGCACAGCAGAGACACACATCAGTACGCCTCCATTTAAAGCATCTCCCCCCAGAACAGAGACAACAGTCACATTTCAGGAAGGACATCAGCTCATTTACAACATGGCAGAGGGGCCACAGGCACTTTGAACTAGTTTTAAATCGGTTATCCTGCGAATTTGAAATCCTTTGAGCTCAGTTTGTCTCCCAGTGGCTGCCCACACACTGACTATCCTCATCTCTGAGACCCACAGAGCCACAGCACAGCCTGGAGCTGCCACCCAGAGCCCTCCTCTCCTGCCGTCTGCATCCCAGCAGAGAGACTGCTATTCATCTTTAAGTTGTCTTTCATAAAATGTCCATTTGGAGTAAAGGCCTGGGAAGTGGCAGACCTGGGGAGGCAATCCCAGAGTTTTAAATCCAAGTGGGGACTGCAGAAAGGGGGAGTCTATTGGGACTTCCTGGGAAAGGTCTCAGATTCAAGAGGAGCCGGGTTGTTTTCTCCCAGGTCCTAAAACAATGGAGCAGAACTTTGACCTTTGGAGTGAGTCTTTGGAGGGAGACTGGCAGTCAAATTCAGTCTTTTATTTAAAATCCTGAGCCCTCTGGGGACAATGGAGAGTAGTTTGGAAGCTGCTACACTGCTGAATCCACTGGCCTGCCCTGGGCTGAGGTCTGGGACTGAAATAGACTCAGTAAGGTTCACCTTCTCCAGCATTAGCTCCCTCTCCTGTTCCACCTCAGAAGACCAGGACGTCATGTTGTTGTGGGTCCTCTGGGTCACTGAGATGACCAGCAGCTCGGAGCCGGGCGCCTCTGGAAACAGCAGCTGTAAATCTGTTCACCACAGAGCATGTCAGAGATTTTGTTATGGGAGCCAGACCCCGACAGATTCTTTTACTCATGCAGAGACAGGCTAAAGCCTGAGAAGCACCAGAGGTGATGCAGGGCAGGAAAACATGGCATTCTATTCCTTTTCTTTACTTTATCCCTCTACAAAGACGTGACCCCAGGTTCACAGGTTAAAGGAAACGGTGTAGATCCTTAAAAATTTGAAATCTACTGATATCCACAGATAGAAACACTGCCATCCACTTAACAGGACACTGTGACATGTGCCACTATGCAACAGAGGATGGAAACAAGGACAAAAGGAAACCCAAAAGTACTGTGTACCTTTCTTGAAGAGGGCGGGGCAGGCCTGTACGGCACACTCCACTCTGGAGGAGCTGAAATACTGCTGGGCTGTGTCCATGCTCTGAGAAGAGGCCGGCTCCTCTGGAGGCTGAGAGTGGAGAACAGATACCGTCATTAGCCAGGGACTCTGACCTCCTCGGCTTCTTAACTCAAGAAGAATTCAAGTCAATCCAACTGTATTTCTGTAGCTCCAGATCCCAACAACAGCAGCTATCCGACAGCTTTCCAACCAGAGCAGCTCACACTCTGAGTTATTTACAGAAGAGCAACAGTTCCCACCAAGAGCAGCACTAGGAGACACAGGGAGGGATACAGGATTCTTCCAACCACAAATCCAGCTTCCACAGCTCCAGGAACAATACAAGGCACAACAGAATATGTACTTCACCCCTGCGTACACAGGTCAGACACAGACAGACGTCTCAGACATCTGGCCTCTCAGACGGTGTAGCACAGACCACCGGCTGAGCCAGAGGAGGGGAGCCGGACCTATTCCTCCACCCAGCCTGAGCCTGGGCCAGCAGATGGGGTGGGGGGGCTGGACTTCCCATAGGGCCCTCTCCCATAGCCAGGCTGATAACAAGGACTCTCAGGATCTTTGATCCCGGAGCACGTCAGCCCACATGTCCTGACCTTTTCACTCCATAACAGCACCAAACACCACATGCTCAGTGTCCTACATCTGTCTGGGCTTTTTAATGGCAGCAGCTTTTGCATCAGCTCCAGGGCTGCTTTTCTTAGGAACATTTCAAAGCAGCATGCCACAGATTAACCAAAACCCTGAGAATATCTGCTTTTTTCTGCTCAGAGCAGAGCTCTCTGAGTCTCCGTTCGGAGGTATTTCAGTCTGTGAAAGGGACAGAGTGGGAAAAGATCTGCACATATGTTCCTTACAGCCAAACCTTATCATCTACAAACACATTTTACTGATTCAGTCCGTCCAACTGAAACCAGATCCCGATTGCTGGTGTCCCAGAGGCCTCACACAGAGCACTTTTACACTCCAAGCATACTCAGCATCTTTCTCCAGGTCACATTCAGCCAAACCTTTCTGAACGTGGACTTACAGACAGCTCCCGTTCCTCTTTGCTGGACGGAGGAGACAGCATGTCCGGAGCCACTCTGCTGGCCAGCCTCCCCCTCAGGCCCTCCACGTCCTCCCTGAAGCCGTCCAAACCCGTAGGCAGATGGAAGCTCTGGTCCCAGGGCAGCGTGGGCCTCGGACTCTCGTCAGGCCACAGACCCCGCACTCCTTACCCCAACCAGGCCAAGTTAGGGACAGGGCACCATACCACTCCAATCATGTGATGCCTTCAAAAAAACCTGGGACGTACCTACAGGGGGGGGGACCACTGTGGTGCAGTCGTGGGAGCCTGAGGAGACAGCAGCAGAGGAGGCTCTGGCTCCAGCCACACGGTGCACCAACACGTGGATCCCTGGTAGGTAGCTGACAAACCTGCTCCTGCTGCACAGCACCTACGGGGCAGGCAGGGGGGGGCACCAGAGTCAAGGGGAACCCCGGACCCCTTATGTGGCTCTAGCCAACTCCACTAACCCACAGCACTAACTCCACCTGCCCCACATGGAAGAGGACACATACCTGACTCACACAGGCCATTGTGGAGGGCTGCTCAGTGTCCAGGAGTCTGAAAGAGGAGGAGGAGGAGGATCAGAGCCAGTTCTAAAGTATCCATTAAAGGTTTGTTTTCAAACTAACTGAGAAAAGAAGAGGAAAGAAAGCCAGAAGAGGCCATCTGGTTAGGATGCCATCTCCCATTATTCTCCTATTAAAGCCTCTCATTCAAATAGGACAATGCTGTTAAGTACACAGCAGGTCTGGGTTACACATAAAATAATCTGAACTGTAAAAAATGCCACAAAACACTATTAACTCAGTCCTCCTTATCTAAGAGTCTGTGGTGCTGCTGTTTACAGCCTGGGGGAGCCAGAGCAGCCCCTTACAGAGCCACAGCTGGGGGTCCATTAATGAGGTTTAGCAGAACCGAGGGCCGCAAGTTTTTACTGGGTGGTAAAACCAGTACGGATGTCAAATCTGAGACATCCCAGAGCTGCCCTGGAGGCTTCATGTGCTCGTTTTTAGGAAACCTGGAGAGACACTGGGTTTGTTTTTCCTCTCACAAGCGGCCCTAACTATTCACAGGCTGCTAACTTATTAAACAGTGTAACAGGAAAGCGACTTAAGGCAATGATTAACTCTCCAACCCTTCAGACTCAGACACAATCGACTAACTCTGTGGGGTTTTGTCGTCCTAAAGTTAGCAAACATTAGCACCCCTGTCAGCGTCATCGGGAAATGGGAGCGTTACCTTCTCTAACTAAAAGCAGCACGAAGCTAACGGCGCCGCTAACTTTACTCCTTTTCAGCCGGAAACAGGACCATCACCGTCCGAGCCCGCGTTTCTCCTTTTTTAATGAGGATACCTGGAAAGCGAAAGTTTTCCACTCAGCCCAAAACACCGCTGCTTCACCTTGAACTCGAGTGTTCTTCTTCTCGGCTTTTTTGGCGGATGCCTAACAACGAAGGGGGCATTACCGCCACCCGGTGGACAGCGGATCAAACAGCGCCTCACGGACTTCTTGGCTTCCGGGTTTAATCATCCCAGTCCCACATAGACATATATAGATATATATGTCATATATAGATATATGTGTCTATGTATATATGTCTGGCTGGCTCCTCTTTCCCCGGTTCCGTGCAGCTCTAACGTTCATATCGTGGTTTTGCTTCGCTTGAGTTTAATAGGGTATTTTCATTAGACGCCCATGCGCGTTAAATGAAAATACCTACAAGTTTCCCAGTAGGAGCAAGATCATATGAGCCAACGTTTTGTCAAGTTCGCTCTCAAAAGTGGGAAAAATGCATAGAGAAATGAAAATATGTAGATTAACACAGTGAAGAGTTGTTGTTTGTTTTGTTGAATGAATGAAGCCATTCTGCCTAATATGCCAGAAGTCCCACAAAGTAACATGCATAGTCAAAGGAAAAAGCTATGTAAATGATGATATTTTTGTTTGTGGACTTAAACTGAGAGTAGGTTTGTTTGAGACAGAAAAATGACTGGCCTGTGGTCTTTGTAGAGTAGGAGTCCATTTCTGTCATTATCAGGTCGGTGTGACATCTATAATAAATCTGGCTGAGCAAAGGTTTGTGTGTGTGGGGAGGGGAGTGATGTTCATGTGTGGCCATGTGTAAAAGAAATAAATAATAATAACAATAAATTATAATAGTTGTATTATCAATATATATAATCATTTTATATAATAATAATCACAAATCATTTTCCTCTGGTATCATTAAAGTATTTGTGTTTCTGATTCTGTATGGCACAACTGTTTGCAGTAAGACAGTAAAAAATGTGTCTCTTGGTAAATTCAGTCAGGTTAGTGAAAAATACAGCAGACGATTATTAATGATTCCGATTTTTATTAATCCCCAGAGTAAAACATCTTAAGTTCATGCTTAAATTGTTCATATGAAGACTAAAGGGGCAAAGTAGAACCAAAAATCACCAGATTTCTTTAATAAAGCAGATTTTGCCCTGATTATGTTTAGTCTCAGCACACTGTTTGATTTGTGCTTTAAAACATGTGTAATATGAAGCATCAAAGCTTGGGATAAACACACCATTAATGATGGAGCACAAACGGCTTTGACACACCTTGTCATGAATTAAACTGTCAGTTGACATCTGAGGCTGTTACATGATGATCATCCGGTCAGACTTTACCGTCCAAATGTTGACAGTAATTTTATGTTTAAGCGTTTTGCGTATCTGAATCGAAAAGGTTATCTGAAAATACACACATTTTATATCCAACGTCCCAGAAAAGATCATGTAGTTTACCATTACACTTGAGTTTGTGCTCCGAGCAGTCAGACTGTTTTAGAGCTAGGGTTAGGGTTAGGGGTTCAGGTCAGTTGTCCATCGTGTCCTCGCTGAAAAACGCCTGCCGAGCTTTGCCCTTGGAGATGTACTTGATGCTCTCTATCTCACCTCCGCTATTGCTGGGCTTCTGAAAGTGGATTTCAATGTGGTCCTGCAGGTCTTCCTCGTCTGCTACGTCCTTGATGCCTTCAAGGAGGATGGTCCGCTTTGTGATCCCACAAAATGTCTGAAAAAGGTAGCAGCAGGCTTTGGTGATGCTCTGTGCTCATTTGACTCACCTAACCCTTTTAATGAGTGAGTTATACCTCTTAAAATCCTTTTTTTTTTTTTTATCTATGAAGAGGTAAAGAAACCATGTTAAGGGTAATTAAACCTGAGATTGAATTCACCGGGTGACATGATACTATTTAAGATGGCTGTGGGTTAAAGACATTTGTAGAGATGATTCTCCAAATTCCTGCTTCCTGCTTAGAGTTAAGCTGCCTTTGATTGATGACTATACTATTTTCTTTCTGCTCAGCCTTGTTTGATTCTATTAGCTTGGGGGTATTTTGTGGCTAGCTCCTGGGAGATGGATGCATGATACATCTAGCTTCATGGTAAAGACGGGCAGACTTGATAAGAACTCAAACTACACAAACAGCCTGACTGTTGACTAACGTTATTCTTTAGTTTGACACACTGATAAACACATGGATTCTCTGTGATCTTTTTAATTCACGAGTCTCTCAGGCCCATTTGTCAGAGCTACAATCTTCAGCCGTCATGCTGAACATGCCTCCTGGGGTCCAGCTGTGTGGCCTTTAATGAGCATCATGCTGGGTCTTACCTGAAACTTGTTAAGCTGGTACTCGAATGCTGGTCCGACCTTCACTTTCACCTCAGAGTCCAGACGTATGTTGTACTCCTTTCTCATCGCCAGCTTTTCAGCAGCTGCAACCACACACGTTCCCATCAGCCCACAATCTGCTGACATGCTCTGATCCTGCCTCTAATTCTACTTTACATGAACAAAGAGAGCTAAAAGTGATGAAGAAACACCTTCTCATCAGACTAAAGCTTCTGTACGTCTGCTTTTATGCTAAATACACATTTTCTTTTTGCTTCCTTGTTTTAAATAAGGAGTCAGAGTGGCTGTACATTATGAACATCACCATGGGTCTTTGTGTTTCAAAGCCAGCCTCCATGTCTGCAGCCAAACACAGACCCTGTTACCCAGTGAGTTTTACCTCCAGGGCGCAGAAACGTGATGCATCCTGTGCCCGAGTTCTCGTCATAGTCCACCTCCTCCACCTCATCTCCTCCCCTACTGGGCTTGGAAAAGCTCATCTCTAGCCGGTCCCTCAGCCTGTCCTCTGGCATGGCAGTGGGGATGTTGGAAACCTCCAGCTTCTTTCTGGAAACATCCAGGCAGACCTGCAGTTGGAAGCACAGAATGAGTGCTGAGGGCCGAGTTTCTAAGCAGTAATGGGAGGAGCTTCTCATTAATCCTGTTCAAATGATGAGGATCAGCTTGGTTTGCCAGAGAATACAGGTGAGCCCACACAAAAGACATGCTCACAACCAATATGGTACAGACAGACACTGTACCTGATATTTGACAGCACTGTCCATGATGACTCTTCTGGGTCTCACATCCACACATGCGCTGTCACAGGACACGGAGCACTTGGCAAGCTTTAGGATTTGAGAGGCCACTGGAGGTGGAGAAAGCAAAAGACATTGTTGAGACAGAAGAAAAGTCTTTGCATGGTACTGGTTTCCCAGAGGTTCTGCTGTCTCTGCCCTATTTTACACCTCCATGCAGCTACGAGAGACAGAAACTCCCGAGCTGAAACCCCCCAGCTCTGGGCAGAACCTCACTCAGAAGCAGTGTGTGAAGAACAAAGTCCTACCTTACTGGCTCCATGGCAGGTTAAAGGTTAAAGGTCATGACAGTCCACTGAGAAAAAGACTAAACAAGTCTAGCTCCACAACCATTACGCCCTCTTCCTGCTGCTGAGTTGATGTGTGTCTGCCAGACCAGCCCGGACATGGCCTGAACACGGCCCGGACATGGCCTGAACACGGCCCGGACATGGCCTGAACACGGCCGGACATGGCCTGAACACGGCCCGGACATGGCCTGAACATGGCCCGAACACGGGCGGGACACGGCCCCTACACGGCCTGATAATGGCATGGACACGGCCTGAACACGGCCTGATAATGGCTTGGACACGGCCTGAACACGGCCTGAACACGGCCCGGACCCGGTCTCAGGGCCCTGCTTACCTTTTTCCTCCTCAAAGGTGACGAGTGCCTGTCCTCCCTGAAGACACACGGCAGGAATCTGGCAGATGGTGAACACGCCCCTGATGGGCAGACAGGAGTTATCATCTTCCTCTCCCACTTCTTTATGTCCAGACACAAACTTGATCTGTGTGTCGGGAATCTGTGTTCGGATCTGGACAGAAAAAGGCGACTTTCAGTCAAACTAAAAACACTCATACGGGGTACAGAGAGGCTTTGCTGCCTCTGGATTCTCGACAGGTTATTTTGTATGTCAGCACACTGACAGAGATAATTAATAGAACATTTCTAAAGAAATTTTGAAGGGGGCCCACCCACTGCCCGCCCCAGGAACCCCAAACGGTGCGAGATCGGACCTCGTGGCTCCAATATGCCAGAGGCCTGTCTTTTGTGACCCATTCAATGTTTGAACGAGGTTTCTCAGAGGTCGGGCCATGTTTTGGGTCTGTTTTCGGCCTTCCAATTCATTTCCTTTGGGACGGCGTTTCGCCTTTTTCGCCATTTATTCGAAAACGTCTGGACTAATGAGAAAGTTGTATACAAACATGCATCCTGTGGTCAGTTTGAACACACGTGGTGATTTTTGGCCTGATCTGTGGAACCGTTAGGGACTATTTACGTGCTGAAAATCGGGCGGAAACTGGAGCACGATCAGTGAAGGTTTTTCGTCCCACCTTAAATTTCTGCTTCAGTTTGGTTGTCTCTCCTCTCTGAGCCTCCAGATGTGCTTGGAGTCTCCTCAGTTCATCCCTTAAAGCCTGATTGTGATGAGATCGCCTCTGGATTTCATCCTTTGTGAAAGAAATGGGTGAAACAAACATGAAAATGACTATGTTTCTGTTCCTCCCAGCAGCTGTTCCCACGAGGGGGTTAAATATACCTGCACTACTTTCATGCTTTGATCACACTCTTCTTTAATCTTCTCCTGCTTCTTCAAATAAGCCATCATCTCCTGCTGGGCTTTGGCCTTGTTGTCAGCTTCTTCCAGTTTTTCCAATATCAGCCTGGCTTTCATGTCATCAGCCTTCTCCAGTTTGACCTGAATATCATCCCAGTCAGACAAGTGGGGCAAAAAGGATGTAAACTTAGTATATATATACAAAATGGATCTTAACCCAGTCTAGATCCTCTTTGTTTGTTGAGTTTGTATCCTTTCTTCCTTTCAGAGGGGATTCAGAGGGATTTAGTTGAAGCTGTATTTTCTAATCAAGAAGAGCTCATATTTAGAACATTATTTATTTTATTTCTGTATATTAGGGCTATCATTTAGTTCCTGGTTGTTACAGATTGTGTTTCACTACCAAATTTCTGTAGCATTGAGGTCTAATAAAGCCTGTTCATGAACATCTGAGAAGCCAGACTGGATCCGTCTGGAGGCAGAGTTCCTCCATTTTGGGAATCAGAATACGGTCATCCAACTGTGTGTCCCCAGGTCTGGGTCTGATCTGGAGTCGATGTACTGGAACTTGATTTCCTGTCTACGTTCGTAACGATCAAAGCGATTACAGATTTCTGAGGTTCAGGATCCAGTTTCTAAGTAATGGTCTGTAAGTGGAGTCACACAAACGTCAGATTGTTGAGAGAGTGACAGATTTCTACAGCTAAGGTTTCAAACAAATGAAAGACAAATTAAACAATGCTGTTCGCTGATCACACCCTACTGCCAATATGACCCTGGAGCTTATCTATGAACAAAGCTAAAATGACACCTGATTCCAACCCAGCCTAAGTTTCACTTTGTGGAATTTGCCAAGCAAACATGATAGTCCTGTTCTCCCAGTGAAGGATCACATTTAAAGGTTTTACAGCTCCTGTCCTGGGGGAGTTTTGGTCTTGATCTGTCATTTCCTGTTTTATTTTGGAAGGTACACCCCTTGTTTAAGGTCACTTCCTGTGTGTCCCCTGTCTGAGGGTCCCCCGATCCCTGATTGGTTCCCCTGGGTTCCCTCATGTGTTAAAATCCTGACCTTGAACCTCCTCTGCTTTTTCCTCGTCTTGGCTGATTATTATTCTGTGTTCATAGTTTTTCCTCCTGAGTGAGGGAGGATTATTTTGTACTTTATCAGCCTTTTGCATCCTCATTATGGAGAGTTATTAATCTGTATTTGTCCACAGTTTTGTTCTGCCTCGCAAGACAGATTCTTATTTGGTACTTTGTTCTTAGCTTTTTCTGCCTCGTTTTCAGAGTTATTATCATTTAGTACTTTTTGTTTCAATTAATATCCAAGTTTTACCCAAGATCTCTGTGACTGAGTCCTGTTTGAGCCCCGTTCTGACACAGTTCCAGTTTAGCAGGTTACAGCCCACACACACACACACACACACACACACACACAGATCTGAGAGCATTTGTTGTTGTTATCATGAAGACAGTGGGACAGAAGAGAGAGCGCCTCTTACCCTCCATGTTTTCAGCTCCTCCTTGGCTTCCTGGAGGGATCTAACTTCGGGACCTCCGTCCATCTGACAAACGAAACTCATCAGTTTACAGATCCTTTACACGTTTACACTTATCTTTACCAAACAACCCCCTCCTGCTCAGCTGAAGTCAGCTACAGGATTTTGGAGGTCAGCCCGGGTCGGACTGCCCCAACAGCTAAATCTTGGGAGTCCTACCTTTGTTTTTCAGGCGGGTTGTTTCCTCACAGCGTCCAGCAGCACGTCCACAGGGACTTCTGTAACTCCTGGACACGAAGACGGCAGCGGTGGTTTCCTGTTAGCTGAAATAGAAAGTGAAAGTCAGAGGCAGCCGCTGCGCGAGGGCCGCGCCTAGACGCACGCGCAGAGGGCCGCGCGACAAGCGAGACGCGTGCGCGTTCTTCCCTTTTCAAATCCTTTTTTACTTTTTAATTACTTCCATACATGCTTTACTTAAATAATTGAATTTGAGTATTTTTTAATCACATTTGGTTTCCTTTTATATTCGTAGATGCCTCCACGTCTTGTATATCCCCCTTTCCGATTTCTCACCTTTGTTCGTGTCTTCTTTTCTTCCTGATTTCACATTTTTACATTTGATTTATATTAAAATAAGGCAGGCAGTCCATAATATCATCATAGTGTTCATAGTCCGCATATTTAATTAGTTACAGCAGCAAACATAATATCACACAGTTTAAGAGTTACTTTAAAAGTTACACTTGAGTTTGAAGTCATCAGGAGTAAACACCAGAGGGGTTTTAAGGCATGCCCCCCCCTCCTGCGCTTTAGATAACAATCCTGTCCTTAGATAAGATTTAGATATCTTTTAAGACAAAAATTAAGGTGTTTTTTGGGTGTTATCAATTAAGAGAGCAATAATTGACCTCTTCCTTAATTGTGCCTCCTCAGTAATTAACACTTTCTTTCATTTGAATGATACAAACAGAATCTAAAGAACAATCTTCCACCATAAACAGTTCACATTTGTTTATGTGTAAGGGAAGCCCTAATAAATCGCACGGGTTTGGATTGAGTTTAAAGCAGGAAAAACGTGACTTCTGTCTCTTGAAAAATAGTTAGCTGCCCTCTAAATGTTTTATAGAAATGTAGTCAGAATCTGAGGAACAGAGGAAGAAATAAGGAACATTTTCCTGTTCCAGTAAACTCCGGTACGGAAGGCAGTGGGATACATCTGAATTACATCGTAATCCGCCAATTAGACGAAGAAGAAGAAGAAGAAGACGAAGAAGGGAAAAACGACAAAGAAGAAAAGCTCTCGTGACAGCTGTTTAGAAGGTTCTCGACGCATGCGTATTGGAAGTTGAAACCGACAGGGCTGTTTGAGTTTATGAAGCTAAGCTCGTCAGCAACGTCACCGGAGCAGAAACAGAGCTTCCAGAGATGCTTTGGTTTGAAGGCTCGATTCCTGATGCCATTAATGCCGCCAAGCAACGCAATCTGATCTTTGTCGTTGTCATTGCAGGTAACATTTTTTGTGGATATTAACTAACTTCCGTAGGGGCCACAGCGGAGCGGTAAGCTAACATGCTAGCCCTCTAGCTAGCTATCAATAGCCACCTGTCAGAGATGTGTGTCGTCACTCAGACTAAAGGAAAACAAGCTGAGATTAGAAAAGGAGGCTGAATAAACCCCAACGTCACACCAGAGGGAAGTGACATTAGCAGTAGCTCGCCTGTTTTACGGCTGACCAGGTAGCTGGTAGTGAAGGCCACTTCCATAAGGAGCTGTGACGGACTGTGGGAGGACCGAGGGTCCACGGTGACACCGGAGGGGCATCAGGGGACATCGGGGGAGGCCGGGGGGGGGACACCGGGCGGCCATCGGGGGGACACCGGGGGGGCGGCAGGGGTCACCAAGGGGCTCTAGGATGGACCAGGGGGACAGGAGGGATACCAGGGGGGCATCAAAGGACACCAGGGGAGACCAGGGGTCACCAGTGAGACACCAGGGGTTATTAGAGGACACCAGGGGGGCATCAAGGGACACCAGTGGGACACTGCACAGGGGACACCAGGGGGGCACCAAGGGTTATTAAAGGACACCAGTGGGACACCAAGGGGGCATCAGGGACACCGGGGGGACCCCGGGGTGCACCAGGGGGCATCGGGGGACACCAGGGGGACACCTCTACCCATCCCGGTGACCGCTGTCCTCTGCCTGCAGGCGGTGATGAGCAGTCGGCACAGCTGATGTCCAGCTGGGAGGATGGAAAAGTCTCAGAGGCAGCAGAGAAATGCTGTGTGGCCATCAAAGTGGATGCCAGCAGGTATGGAGTTAGCCAGCACACGCGGGGCAAATCATTTCTTTTACCCTCCCAGGAACTAAAACCACAGCCCGGTGCTCAGTCCTCACCCTTTTTCTCTCCACAGCGATGCCTGCGTGCAGTTCTCCCAGATCTGTATCCTTTTCTTGTAACATCTTCTGGAGAGCTGAAGGTTCCCTTTAGTGTGTGTGGTCATTCCTTAATGCTCCACCTGAAGACCCCGTGGTGTGCATACCCTCCAGCTTCTTCATTGGAGAGAGCGGCATTCCTCTGGAGGTCATCGCCGGCAGCGTGGCACCGGCAGAGCTGATCAAGAGAATCAACAAAGTCAACGAGTTACAGGTAGGACTTTCTCCAGAGGGTTCTGGGTTGGAGTCTCATCTGAAACATGTTTTTGCTCCTTAAACTTGACCAAAGCCAAACACATGGAGCCTGTTTTATTCTGCGTCTCTCCATCCTACTCAGGGTTGAATGTTTCTAAGCAGGACACGGTGACCTCTGACCCTCCAGACGGCTCTGCAACAGGAACCATCTTTCATCCATTTTCTTTTAGTTAAAATGCTAATGTCAAGAAACATGATCAGATATCTCCACAAAAACAGTCAGAGAAGAATTACTGATATTTGATTAATTCATTTCAGTTTGTTTCCCCCTCCTATTTATTTTTATGTTACCTGAACATATTTAAAAGTGTCTAAATATTGATGAAATGAGCTAAAGCTCAGACCTTAACTGTGCTGACCTGTTTTGGTGGTCTCCTCCTGATGGCAGAACACTGGAAGTACAGCAGCTGTACCGGAGGTCAGGGACCCTGTGGAGCCCCGCTCACCTGCCGGTGGAGCCACAGAGCCCAGCACAGCTCCACAGGTGCCCGTCCGGTCGGCAGCAGCAACAGGTCAGAGAAGCAGAGCCTTTCACTTTACAAACCAGACCAGGAGTCCACCGTTTTACGGCTCAGTTATTGGACAGGATCAGTGTAACTGTGTGCCCTCATTCCACAGAGGGCCCCTCAGGCTCAACAGCCCTCCCAGCAAATGTGTCCTCAGAGCCTTCTGACAGCTGCTCTGAGAGTGAAGAAAACCTGGATGCTAAAGTGGAAAGGTATCTCATCTCAGACACATGCAGATAGATTACCGTATTTCCCCTATATAAGACGCACTGGATTATAAGGCTCATAGAGTAGAAGCTCCAGTAGAGGCTGGGACACAGTTTATCTTTTAACTACAGCAATGTTTAACAGGTAGAGCAGCATTTTTATCAGGCAGTGGAGGGGACTTTTCCTCCATTCAGTAAATAACAGAAACAGTCTGATACCGTTATGGTAAATTGGTGGGTCAGCAGCAGGAGACTCCACCCACAGCTCCTGGAACTCCTGCAGGAGGTGATGGAGGAGAGAGGAGATGGGGGAGAAGCACAGGACTACGGGAAAGGGGGGAGGTCCAGTCAGTGACATCATCTAGAGGAGAGGCTGTTTAGGAGCCCCGTTAAAAAGTGGTGTCCTCCAGTTCAGCCCATTTAAAGTCACAGTGCTGTCACATCAGACTCCAGCTCCATGTTCAGGATCATTTTCAGGCCATGTTCTCCTTTTCTGTCACAGGCTGACCAAGAAGCTGGAGGAGAGACGAGAGCACAAGAAGAAAGGAGAAGAGGAGGTAAGGGGAGGCTGGTGTAAAGCTCAGAGCCAGTACAGACTTTGAACCCATCAAAGCTGAAACAGATCCTTTTCTTTTTCAAAGTAACTTTATCTAAACAAAGTAAGTACAAACTAGTAAGGCAATAGTAACAGTACAATAACGAAAAAGAATAAGTGAATGATAATAATGTAACAATAAATAACACAGCAACAATACTATGTTTGGATTGTTGTACATCGGTGGGCAATTCCATTAGTATTTCAGTCACGAATTTGTATGATTTCATACATTTGAGAGTTGTAAAATATAACTTGAATCCAGATAAAGACATGTTAAAGACTGGGGATGATGTCAACACTCTGTTTATGAATAAAGGATTTAGCTAAACGTGAAACGGATCCAGTTCTCTGCAGGTCCAGGTCTGTCCCATCCGGGCTCGTCGGGGACAGAAGCAGCTTTAGTTTGACTCATTTCCATGGCAGCACAAAGGCTCACCCCGTCCTCTGACCCTAGCATGTCTCTGCCTGCAGGCGGATTTAAAGAAGGAGATGGAGCGCCGGCAGATGGGAAAGAACGTTCAGGATTTTAAGAGGAAACAGGAGGACGACAAGACCAAGCGCCTTCTGGAGGAGAGGAACAGGGAGAAGGCAGAAGAGAAGGCAGCCAGGGAGCGGGTCAGGCAGCAGATTGCCATGGTAACCCCGTCTTTGTCCGCCTCCCTGTGGGATAACCCGGCCTATCAGAGCATGTCCTAAAGTCTAAAGTTACTTATCTACTTCCTTATTGTCAGACTCCTGTTGAACAGGGATTTACTCTGATAACAACTAGCAGCTGAATTAGGGGAGTCTGAATAACACACACTGGTTGGTAAAGAGACACTGAGCTGTTTATTCAGGGACAAACACTAAACAGACCAAAGTATAGAAAACTAACGAAACTCTTCATGTTGTTTATGGTGGTATTTCTCTAAATGCTTGATTAGATTGGTTGTATTAAAGTTTCTTCCAGCTTTACCACTACGCTTACCTTTATTGTGGCATGTTTTACATCCAGCTCTTGGTCTTTTTCCTCTTTAAGGATCAGATAATCCCACACAGCTGACATTTTACTGACAGCTTCACATTAACATGGCCGTCTTAATAGTTAGGACTCAGAGCTGTGGGGCAGGAGATGCTAATGCTAATGCTAAAGGCTGAGCTGGAAAATGACCGGACATAAGGGAGCAACACAGCAAAGTGGAATGGATTATTTTAAAAACTGGATCTGGAGTCTGGATCTGTGTTTTCTTCTGCCGGCCGATTCGCATTTTTATGCAAATATCAGATCCAGATATGGGATTGGGACAGGCTAGTCTGGAGTGTCTTTAGTCCCGTCCTGTCTGTGTCTGCAGGACCGAGCTGATAGAGCAGCACGCTACGCCAAAAACCAGGAGGAGGAGAAGGCTGCCAGGGAGGCCCTCACACGGGCCAGGCAGGCCGAGCAGGAGGCCAGGAAGGAGACTCTGCTCAGAGAGAGGAGGTGGGTTGGTCCCAGGGCCGGGTTATAGGAGAAAAGGTTATGTTTTTTTTTTTTTCCACCAAAATGTTCGATTTCGATTTTATATCATGATATGAACAAAATCACTTTTTTGTATTTTTCATTTTATTTTCTGGAATAATACAAATGTAATAACCATGATGCGTAACTAGTGGGTTACATTGTCTTAAATGCTAAAACAAATTGCTGGTGTTTCCTGTTTTAGTAGCTATGCTCCTTCTACAGAGTCTGCACAGTGTTTAATCTGCTGTCCGACTTCAAACACGCCCAGGGTAGCTCTTCTCAGGCCCTTCTTTTCCACCATGTCGTCCTTCTCCTGGGCAGCATTTCCACTTGGTTCCTGTTCACAGCTCCCGTCTACAGAGTTCTGGCTCATTTTTAAAGCCTTAGAAGGTTTTACACTCTGGCTGGAGAAATGATTTGCTCTAATTTATAATCGTAGAGAAATTTTACATCGCGAATAAAATCGAAATAGAAAAATAACCCTGGTTTGTCCCAGGCTGTCGGACGGGTCTGAAACAACATGTGGGATCCCCCCACCCCCCCTCTCCTGGACTACCCTCTCCAGTGTTTAATGGCAGCTTTTTCCTGATTGTTTGATTAGTACCGTTGCACGGATACAGTTCCGGCTCCCAGACGGTTCATCCTTCACCAACCAGTTCCCCTCACAGACCAGACTGCAAGAGGCCTGGGACTTCGCTGTCAAGGTCAGACCGGCAGGGCTGCACACATGAGCCCCCCCTAGACCAGTGGTCCCCAAACCCTGGTCCACGGCCTGGTACTGGTCCCCAACCAGGGTCCCCTGCTTCTGTCCCAACGAGCCCGGAGACGGAAGAAGAAAACGGCTTCCAGGAAAATTTAAACTTTTAACAGTTCTACTTGATATATGGGGTCTATTCCCACAGGCTTAGGCTGCTCGGCATAATTTATATAAAATATATATTCATATATATTTATAATACAGACGACGAAGCTTAAAAACTGCTTCTGAAAGGGCTTTGCCTGAAGAAGTTGTCCTCTTTAGCCTTTTAGAAATTGCGCTTAATTGATATGTGATGGGATCAAAAATGGTAAATTTGCTATATGCTAAATATGTACAGTATGTACTGTAACAAGTCTGGCAGACGGGAGAAGTTAAAGATGACGAAACAGGCTTGTTTTTATGAGGTTTCTGAGTTTTACTTTAAGCCAAAATTCGCTCACTTTGAGGCCTATGAGCATAATTAGCTTTTAGGGACCATTTTGCCATTAGCATGACGTGCTAATTAAAGATGGATGCCTGTTGGCATCCCAAGTGGAGCATCACTATAAACATGTTCTGTTCTGGTCCTGTTTCAGGAAGTGGGCAATCGCTATGGTAACTTCTCCCTGGCAACCATGTTCCCTCGGCGAGAGTTCACAAGCGAGGACATGAACAAGAGTCTGGTGGAGCTGGAACTGGCTCCTAGTGCTTCCATCGTCCTGCTGCCTGTAAGCTGAGCTCCGTTTTCCAGCTCTGGGTCCAGTTGTTGTTTCTGTGTTCCAGCTCGGAGGAAGATGGAAAAACAGGCTGTCTTACTCCTAAAGTAAACTTTCAGATCTCTGGATCACAATTCTGAGGATGGATAAAACCATGTATTTTGAATGTGGTGGAAGCAACTAAGGACATCCCCATCCAGCCTTCTGCTCCTCCGATCTGATCCGGCCTATCAGAGCATGTCCTAAATTGTAAAGTTATTTATCTACTTCCTTATTGTCAGACTCCTGTTGAACAGGGATTTACTCTGATAACAACTAGCAGCTGAGTTAGGGGAGTCTGAATAACACACACTGGTTGGTAAAGAGACAAATTATTTTAAAAACTGGATCTGGAGTCTGGATCTGGGTTTTCTCCTGCCGGCCGACCCGCATTTTTTTGCAGATATCGGCGATCCGATCCAGATATCGTATTTGGACAGGCCTAGAAGCAGCCTCCTGGTATTCACTCTTGTCTCTGACCTGTGAACATGCAGTGTGCTCTGAGCTGGATAGACTTTAGACTTTTTTTATCCCTTTTATTTACTCCTTCGGGGACATTCTGGTTCCAGTAGCTTATGTAGAGTACAAAGGGCAGAGTTAAAGCAAGATGCCAAGAAAGATAGAAATACAACAGAGTGTATATAGTACAAACAAGCATAAGAGAAGTTGTAATGACCTGGAATCTTTCATTTAGATATAAGATATCTGCACAGTAAGGAAAGACTACACTAGTTGACTTGGATGACTCTGGAAAAGCCGGGAATGTGATGTGAGGCTGTCTCTGTCTCCCAGCAGTCCAGCAGGCCCTCCAACTCGGTGGTCCAGTCCTCTGGGGGGGGCATCTGGGCAGCCCTGGGCTCGCTGCTCTACCCGCTGCTGGCCGTGTGGAGGTTCCTCAGCTCTTTTCTGTTTTCCACCCCGAGCCCTTCAGCAGCAGCCGCCTCCAGAGGGCCGGTCCAGCAGCCCAGCTCCTACGCCCACGCAGAGCCGTCCTCCAGCAAAGCCCAGAGGTGAGCACCGGCTCCTGAGCCCGGCCGGGGCGCCTTAATGCCCCTCAGGAGGGGACACGAGCAGGAGCCTGCCATATGTATCATATTTTACACATACGATTTCTGAAGTCTTTTGGATCTGAGCCTTTCTGCGTCATTCAGTGGTAAAAGCTTTGCTCAAACCCCTGTTGTACACATTCAGATATACCTGATAACAGCCAGTAGAAGACTACACCAACATATATTTTTTTAACTATTGCACGCTAATTTGATCAAAATAATTTCTGTTTTCTTTTTTTCATATGTTGTTGAGGGGCCAAAGAAAGGCATCAGACTAAAAAAATCCAATATTCTTCCTATCCTATCTTATCCTTCTTTAACGGGAAAAGCCTGTCAGCTTTAGGCTAGCTGCTATATATAGTGATGCTCTAACGTCTGATTTATGGTAACGTATCAGACTGTTTCTGTTATTTACTGAATGGAGGAAAAGTTCCCTCCACTACCTGATAAAAATGCTCCTCTACCTATTAAACATTGTTTCATAATCCGATGCGCCTTATATCCGGACAATACGGTAATAGAGCAGGGTTAACTGGCTCCATCAGCTTCCTCCTGTAATCTAAAGGGGCCTTTGATGTCCTGTCTAGTTACTAAAATGAGAGGCTCATGCAGAGTTTTGTCCACAGAAGTGGCCAAAGCCTGGTGTCCTAGTGTACATCCCAGTCCTGTGTTTAACCTCAGAGCTGCTCCTTCCTCCTCCCTCTGCTCAGAGACCCCCCCTCCAAACAGACGTTGGAAAACAGGCCCAAGGACTTCAAAAAGGACGGCAAGATCTGCCGGCTCCGGACCCAGGAGGACAGTGAGGACGACAACAACACCTGGAATGGGAACTCCACCCAGCAGATGTAGAGGCTGGGCAGCAGCACCTGACCCCGCCTCCCCCCCTCCTGGGGCTGGGGGCCCCCTGCCTCCCTCCTGGGGGCCCCCTGCCTCCCCCCCTGGGGCCCCCAGCCTGTGTGTTTTCTCTCTCTCTGACTCTGTTTCTGGCCTACAGCCCTGCACACTGCCTGCATGGATAGGTTCTCTGTACCCCCCCCCCTTCAGTCTTAACATGCTGATTAAAACCTGATTGACTCCTGAACCGGGCTCAGGCTGCTGAGCTATTTAAAAATGGGCCTCTCATTTAGGCCCCTGTTGACATCCTGCTATGGGGCTGCTAGGCCCGGGAAGCCATTCCCCACCAATGAACGGGGGCTCATTCTGTTTCTGCTATTTAGTCTTAAGGGCTCATAGCTGCTGGCAAAGGTGCAGCTGGCTGTGGCTGGGTGGTGCCCCCCCCCCCGGCTGAGGAGTGTGACTTTGTGCTCCTGCTGTAGTTCTTCTCATTCAACAGTAACAATAAAAGCATCTTGTTTCTCTAAAGTTCCTGACTGGCTGTCAGTGGTTGAGGGGGAGGTGAGAGAGCAGCCCTGTCCTCATCCGGTCCAAAAACAGGCCCAAAACATGGCTCCCGGGCCTAACCGCTCGGCCCCACGACCTCCAAGAAACCTCGTTCCAACATTGAACGGGTCGTGAAAGACGGACCCCCGCCACATTGGAACCACAAGGCCAGATCTCACACCGTTTGGGGATCCTGGGGTGGGCAGAAGTTGGAGTCCCTTTAAAATTTCTTTAGAAAATTTCTAGTTTAAAATGCAACTCAGAGCCATTTACAACTAAATCTACTTTTTTAATGTACCTGTAACAATAATGGCAAGCAGCAGGAAATGGCACTCACAGAAACTTCACAGCTAAAAAAGCATGTTAATCTAGAATGTAGACTCACAGGTTTTCTGTCCATGAAACGAGAAACCACGACATTTACACTGAGTCTAAGCATTTCCAGCCTGTCTCGGTCTACAGTCTGGTTTAATCTGAGGTTAAACCCTGATGATGATCGGAGGGAGGTGTTTTCTTACCCCGCCAGACTATTTAAAAGGACAAATTCCTTTTAAAGAAATGGCTCACTGAAGGTTTCCCTGACATCTCTAGTTTAAAAGTGGATTTGGATGGCTTGTTGCCACCAGTCTGTGAAAAGAGAGACAGAGAATAGCCTGAAAAAATGTTCTCTATCAGCAGGGTTTCAGCTCAGTGTCACAATCTTTCATCTCAGATTGAGTGTAGCTCATTCAAAACAGCATCTCACCCAAATACATGACAGCCTGAACTCAAAAAGACACAAACTCTAACATGTCACATCTTTAATCAAAGGTTCTACTGTGTTGTACATCCCCACAGTCCACAAATATGAAGTGCTCACAAAGTATTGGATGTTCTTAAACCCCAACCCTCAGACCAAATGAGGAAAATGGTCAGCATCTCCTATGGTTCTCATGTGAGGGTTTTAGCTGGTGGAAAGGCAGAAAGCATGTGGTCTAATGTCATGGCTGATACATATGAGCCTTCCTTATTAAGTTAAAAAGTAAGTAGTTAAAAAGGTGATATTAGAAGCTACAATATTAAGCCTTATGAATGTTTTAAAAGGTGATATTAGAAGCTATATTGTTAAGCCTTATGAATGTTTTAAAAGGAGATATTAGAATC